ACCAGTATAGAGAATGTTGTCTCAAATTACGTCGTCTTTTTGTGTTCCAAGACCTTTCTGATTGAATTATGATATTTGACCTCATGACCTTGATCTTGAAGTTAGATGAAGTTTTGAGAAGCTTCAATCTTTGCCATAATTTTTATTGATTCAATAATTTATAATGTTTTTGTATGATGGGCATACAAGACAGGACATACAGCCAAGACAGGAACGTTATGCCATAAATAATTGCATCCCAACCACTAAGACACCGAAAGCGGGGGATCACATGTTACTTTATTTCTACAAAAGGCGCTGTCATGGTTACTAATACAATAGAGATTTTTTGAAATTCCTTCTAATTATATTGTTACTCCTCGTACAGTTTTAGTATAATTTCAATAAGACTTGGTACACAAGTAAACTATTCCTAAATACATAATTCTATTTATCTGTTTTGATTTTGACAGTTCCAACTTCAATAAAACTTAATTGTTATAAGTACCCACCAGTAGAGCTATAGTCTCATCAGTGACTTCTTGTTTTCTCCTTAAGTTGTATACAACTTAATAAAGATTATTATGAATTATGTAATATGTAAATTTTGTTTTGTTTTTTGTTCTTTTCTTTTCTTAGGTCACCTGGGTCACTCAGCTATTGTTTTCATGCGATGGCGAGCGTCGTTCGTTAGTCTTAACCGTTTGAACATTTTCGGCTTCTTTTCTTGAACTACTGAGCCAGTTTGGCATACACATGTAGCAGCAATGGGTGAATGGGTACAAAAAAAATGTGAATTTCATGGTCTCTGCCTCCATGGGGCCTGAAGGGTGGGGCTAACATCATCAAAATTTGTGCTATCTTTAAAAAATTCTTCTTTATTCCTGGAGATCAAGCAGTCAATTGTTGGCATGATTTTTATAAGCATTTTATTAGCATAAAAATTGTACAATTTATGGCGTCAGGGTCAGGGGTTTGGGAGTTAAGGCAGGGCTCTAATGATCAGATAGTCAAATTCATAAATTCTTTAAAAAGATCTTCTCTTCCCCTGAATATTTAGCAGATAAACTAGGTACATGGGTATCATTAGCAAACTTTTTAAGGTGCCTCTTCCAAAATTCAGAATTTCAGGGCACATGGACCATGGGTTCTGTTTTTAGAATGGGGCTATATTGATTATACAGTGAAAAAGCATTATTTCATTATATAGCAAAAATGCATTTATTTACTTTTTTTCTTTGAAAACCTTCTTTTCTCCTGGGTATTTAGCAGATAAACTAAGTGCATGGTTAAGATGAGCAAGAGTGCTTCTTCCAAAATTAAGAATTTCATGGTCCCTGCTGGGTTAGGAGTTCAGGTGTTGGGGCAGAGCTCTATAGATCAGAGAGTGTGGAAAATTTATAATTTTTCTAAATTTCTTCTCTGCCCCAGGGTTTTTGGCAGACAAACTAATTTCATAGTTATGTGGAGCAAGGATGCCCCAAATTGTGAAATTCATAAGCACTGGGTTAGAGACTTTGATGTTAGGGATGGGCTGTGTTGAATATAAATTGAAAATGTATTATTTCTTTGAAAATCCTCTCCTCTTCCCCTGGGTATTTAGCAAATATATACTTCATAAATGGTCTGACATGATGAACGAGGGTGCCTCTTCCACCATGATTGTAAGTAATGTAATTGAAAGGTTAATTAAAGACGAGAATTATGTGTAAGAATTTTTATAATATATAATACAAAAAGTACTTGCATAGTTTTTAATGGTCAGGTAGGCTTGTAAATACATGTTATAGATAAATAAAAATCAGACAAAAATACCTTATGTACGTGCATTATTTTATTAGGGCCCCGCAAGGATTTGCGGGTGCCCTATAGTAATCACTCTGTCTGTCTGTCTGTCTGTCCATCTGTCTTTCTTTTGTCCACAAATTTTCTGTTTTTTTTCTAATAACTTTTTAAGGGTTGACCAATTAAGTTCAAATTTGGTATGTTGGTTGAATAGGCAGCAAGACATATTTTGATGCTAAGTTTGATTCTCTTTGTCATCCGGTTTGGAACTGGGGTGGTGGGGTAGATTTCTTAATTTTATATAAGAGTGAATGGGCAAAGAGAGATAACTGCTGAGAATGTTCCTATTGTAAAGTATGTCTTGGGATTAATTAACTTTCCTCTTGAAGAAAATCCAAAAGCATTTATCTTTATCTGTCACTTTGAGATTAATTAACACCTCTCTCTGCAAATGAAGTTTGTTTTGAAGTTAAGGTCAATTCTGAATGATGTTTACATTCTCTGAAATGTGGATTTAAATAATGTTTATACTTTATTTTGGTAAAATAGACAATGCGTTATAATTTTATTGAATTCTAAAAACAAGATATAGATAAAGATATCTTTTTTATAATTATTTTTTTTTCCTGTCTTTTTCTCTGCCTTATGTAAATTCAAAAATACTAATTAATTTTAACAGGTAGTCAGATAATAATCTCATTCTATCATTGCTGAAAATGTTGTTATTGTAAACTTAGAAGAAAATTTTAAGGATGAGAGAGCAGTACAATTAATCCCCTGTGATTGATTATCTTGCCGGTTGCAGAAAATATTTTGAGGGTTATCTTTATCTGTAACTTTAAGATTAATTAACACCTTTGTCTGCAACTGATGTTTGTTTTGAAGTTAAGGTCAAGCCTGGTTGATGTTTGCATTCACTGAAGGCTGGCATTTTAGAAAACACATGCATCATTCTTTTTTCGATATACATTTAATTGAGTATAATAGATATGATGTTTTTTACTGCCTTATGTAAATACAAGGATACTATTTACAGGTTGTAAAATATTCAGGAATTATCTTGAAATTTTATAGATACAGTTTCTGTTGCTTATTCTCCTTCATATATTTATAAATTTTTGTAATCAAGTCAAATTCTCATTCCCTAATCTGCACCCTTATATTTTTACCCCTCGGTGGGGCCCTTGCTGACTGGCTAGTTTTTTTGGGTTTTTTTGAAAGACCAAGATGGATCCAAGGATAGATTCAGTAATAGTGCTCAAGCTCAATGGTTTTTTTGGTCTGCATAGTGATAGTGACTGATAGTTAGAAAAAGGCAAGTTAGTAAATACATCTACTGTATGATTTATTTTTTATTTTATTTTTTTTTTAAACGGGGTTGGGGGTGGGGGGGAGTTAGCTATTTATAAATTTATTGAGTATTTTTTCTTTCAAAAAATCGAAAAAGTCTAAATGTGGATTATACATGTATGCCGTGCAAAGCTCATTCATATGAAATTCATGTTTTTTTATCAACCATGTTTTAACACATTCCTATGCTTGTAATAATTTATTTTAACTCTGTTGAACTATCTTCTACTATCATGTTAGCAAAATACTGACTGATATTTTGTGAATTTTTGCTTATATATCCTGTATTACTTTTTCTTCTTTGAAAACAATAATGAGAAAACTGATGGTATACATAATGACGTAACTTACAAAAACAATTTTAAAGAGGAAAAATGTATTTGGTTCTTAAAGAAAGGAGAAATAATTAAAAAAAATTAGCATTACATTCTTTTACAATTGCAGTATGAATTTCTATTTTCATTATTATGCATACGTCTTCATTGTTTATTCTACGAAAAAAACTGAGTCCTGAAGCTTTCTATATTCAATACTATATTCATTACATTTAACAATTATACATAATATGGTTATCAAACATTTGTTTTCATCATCATATATCCTACTCGTTTGAAATATTAATTATGCAAAATTTTTTTCTCTAAATATGTCACCGACATACGGTGGCTGCTATAGGACATATGTTTGAGATATTTTTTTTTAAATTCGTTCCCACGAAATAAAAATTCGTTCCGACATGTTCATTACTTAACATAATCTTGAGCATTTCAGGAGTGTTTAGTTTTGTTTGATGGATAATGTATTCTCTTTGTTTTATTTTTTTCATTACAAATTCTGACAAGCTGTAGATTTTAGCATAAAGTTGTGGATGCAGCGCTCTCGGGAAAATTACAAACATAATCATGACATTAAGGGGTTATTACCGTAGTACTGAATGACTGTCGCATGTTGCACCGTTAATATTAACATCAGCTGTCTCAGCGTTAATTACTTGTATATGTCAACTGTACACGGATCATTAATGTCGTGTAAATTACTGTACTGCAAGTGAATAATGTCTGTGTCCTGCCAGTTGTAAGCTGTTACATGTACAAATATTATAGGTATAGTTTGACACGTGGTGCATGAAGATCAAATTACAAAACTAATTACGACTAAAGTGTACACCAACACTTTCCTGTTTAGCTAAAGAGGACTTATTTCCAGTATATGTAATATTTAATACATGTATTGCATTTATATTGTATAATTTTTTTTAGGTTACTGAGTCATTCAGGTGATCTTTTAAATTGCTTTCCGTTTAATTTCGTCTGGCGTCGTCTGTCGACCATAAACTTTGAAATATTTTCAGCTTTTGGATCTCTTTCAACCAGTTTTGGTAATTATAGTAACTTCAGAATTCAGAAGACATATGCAAGCATATGTCGTACACTTATTCTTTTAAGCGTGACCTAAAAAGATAAAGTCTGGATATACGGACAGAGAGTTGTACATAGGAATACTGAAATCTTCCTTAAAATCTTTTACCTAGTATGTATTTCTTTCACTGCTATGGAAGCATTGTCCCGTTTATTAAACAGCTGTTAAATTCAAGATGAGAAATCGCAATATCTGACCTGCGTTAACCTGCAATAGGAATTCAATTGCTTTTAATGTTGAAATTGGACTGCCCCCAAAACCCGGCTTACATTTATGTGCATTTTAAACTGTATGCTGAAATTATTGAAATCATGTTGTAATATGTGAGATGACTACAATAAGCAAATTGATAATTTTAATTTTGAAACCACAGGCTGAGCGTCCATTAGGCTTAAAAAGTTTGTTATTGATGATTTTAAATTTAAAAAAAATTTCAAAAGTAACAAATTTCAATTTATATTTTATTGAAAAAAATAACATAATACAGGTCAGCGTGCAAGAGAAAAAAAAAAGAACAGAACATGTCAGTCTGAGTATTAAAGGTTTTCAAAAGCATGAAGATATAAAATGTAAAATGTTTGTTAAATGCAAATGCTGAGCATGTTAGACTGAAACGATGCATATGATGCTGGAGAATGACTTTCACGTGAATGAATTATTCTCTGTCTATCTTTCCACAACGTATTTAAAAATAATCACATTACAACACAACGATCACGTGGTTTAGAGATTTTTGAGTTTTCAGGTCTCTTCTCGTTCCATATATCGAGACTTCTACATTCACTTGTAATGAATTCTTCCACCTCCACCCCGTGAGTGACTTCCAAGTCTGACAGACTGATGCGGGAGGCGTTCAGGGGGACAGATTCCTTTTCCTCCGCTGCTTTTACCTCCTCGTCTAATAAGGAGGAGTCTAGTGGCCCACCAAGGTAATTTCTCGTTGCTAGCTCTAGGTTTACGGACGGAAGCGCTGAAATAATAAACATATTTATAAGCAAGGAACTAAGAAACAACAGCATTGTCGTTTACTAAAATTTTATTGAAATAGACATTCATATAATGATTACACGATAACTGTCGTGTACTCATTATATGAATTTCTAATTCAATAATTAATAAACGGCAGTATTAATTGATAATATCGAGAACCAAGATGCATTTCTAAATGTATGTACATAAATTATTGAATGTACAATTACGTCAATGAATTCTCTTTTCATTGCAAACCATATCAATTATTTATTGAAGCAATAATTACGTGTAACTTGCTATCATTGAAAGTTACAATATTTTGACTACAACAAACATCTTGAAAAGCATGACAAATTTTGACGTACATGTACGAATATTGGTTGGAACAAATCGGATACATTTGTGGGGTAGAACGTGCTTAAGATACCTTTTTGGTTCAGGAGGAACTGAAATGCTGGTATAACGACTTGGGGATCGAGAAGGTGTAACTTTACAAAGAGAGCATTCATATCTCTGTTATAATCCGCTTCTGTACATTGGCCCCGGACGATTCGGTATATCCACATTCGGGTCCAACGGGGCTCCATGATGTGTGCAAGGAGCTTCTCTGCCCAAACATGCCTATAAACCAATGTTGACTACAGTGAAAATGGTAAAAAATTTACTTGTATTTTACCAAAGAAGACCAGCCAACAAGACTTTGTTATAATTTCACAAAGAAATTAAGACGATTTACCCATTGTCCTCCATAAAATCCTTCAGACTGACCCCCGTCTTCTCATCTCGAACTACCTCAGGGTAGGTCAAAGAGTACAGACAGAAACCTATAAATAAGCATAATGTTGGAAACAATAAAGTCATAATTTCGTTGATGAAAGTATGTCATAAATACAAAAACCATTTTATTGTTATATTTAATGTATTTGTCTTGTTAATTTTAACGGTGTCCATGGAATAACAAAAAGGTTTATGATTTGACTGATACAGAGTAGGTCTGTAAATCTGCCCTACTAAAATATGCCTTTTAACAAATCAGAGGCTATTTACAAAAACGATAAAGATTGACGTTATATTGTCCATGATTAATATTTGTACTAATAAAGATATTAATTAGTGTTGAGTTATTCTTTTGTCTCAGAAATCAGCTGTTCCACAAACCTAGCTTTTTCCACTGAAGGCCATTATAAATTTCCCTAAGCACATGCTGAAGTGAGTCTTTGTCAATCATTTGATGAAACTTATACACGTCTTTTATATTAGATATACATTCAGCAACCAAGGATGTTGCCAATTTGTCCATCGGAAATCCTCGGGTATCCAAGTATTCCAAAACAGGATCCGGGGTTTCATTCGGAAAGAAAATATCATGCACGTGCGGTTCAACTTTCACAGCATTTATCAATATCGAACGAGCATATTCCGAAACTTCGTCCACTCCTTCTCTATATGGCGTAAGACTGTACAGAGCCTCTACGTTAAGCCGATCTCCAGGTTTGCTGGGCCTCGCTAGAAGGTTAAAGCTGTTTGTTCTCCTCACTGAGGCTCCTCTTTTGGCCCGAGGCGGTGATCTCTGAGACGAGCTCCTTTTCACAGAAATCGGCATCGTTGACATCACATCCAAAATATCAAATCATCTTCAATCCGGAAATCAAATTATGTGTCCATCTGTACAGATAAAAATACGAGACTTACAATTACATATAAATTCTATTCTATTCAATGATCAAGCCATGGATATTTAGGCAGATATGTATATCAGATCCAAATGAAGACAATCATTAGTTAATCTACTTAATTACTTCCTTTAAAAAATTACCGTATAAGGTAGGACAGAGATCTTTAAAAGAAGCGACAGACATGCATGCATTTTAAGGTCAAACGATACGTTCCTCAAATATCTGTTTTGCAAATCTTCGTAATGTATGAAAAATATTCAAAATTGTAAGTACCTTCTGATTTCTTAGCAGGTTTCTTATTGTCTTAAAATAATCGAAACACTAAAAAATGTGATATTGACAAATAAAGATTTTCCCGAAAGGATTATATAGGAAACATCATCCTCTGTTATCTTGCACAAATGCCTGGTAAGGTACCTCAATTTTTTGTGAGTAAACATGTTAAAGCAGCAATACTTCAATGACAAAATCTTGGAAAAAATTATATTATTGAGGAACGTAATAATCTGTCTTTAATGTTATTGTAAAGATAATTCGTAGGACTAGTTTATAACAATTATTAAAAGCAATAAAAATATACATGTATATATATGTACTATTCTAAATGCTTTGCATATTCATGTCATTGCGTCCTTAAGGTAACTTTATATATATATATATATATATATATATATATATATATATATATATATATATATATATATATATATATATATATATATATATATATATATATATATATATATATATATATATATATATATATATATACACGCGTATATATATAAAATGTCTAAACATTATAAGTTACCAAATGTCTTAACATTAAAACATTCAATTTAATTTTTTCATACAATTGGCGACTGAAAACCAGTTTTCTACAATTTCTATTGACGTTATTTAAAAAGCCTGCATGTATAGGGGTATAGGGAAGTAGATAAGAAAAATAGCTCTGTTGCGAAATTACATCTCTGGGAATTCTTTCAGCCTTTGTGCTGTTGTGATTTGGCGGTGTATATGTACGGGCTGAAATTTTTCAATAGATATGTGAAATTTTTAAACGAAATCGTGATCGCATTAGATGTATAACGGTCATATATTTTTAAAAATCTCCTCTTCAGAGCCATTCGAACAATAGGCTTTAATTCCATGTTTTTAAACACTTAAATTGGACCATCTTATCCGCCCACAATAGACAAATATCATGCCGAAGTGTTCCGTCTTTAAATAAGCTGACGGCTTTTGTAAACAGAGCAAATTCTAGGTCGTACTCTTAATAGACCGAATTGGTCTTATCTCGCGATCAGTCGATCTATTTGGTCCGAACTCGTTCAATAAATAGCTTCATTTATATAGGTGTCCGAGAATTTGCTATTCAAATTTTGAATATGACAAGGTATTGAATTTAAATAAGCAAGGCTTAAGTAACGTGGATGACCTTGCATATCTCAAACTACATGGAAAAGTCATACCTATATCATAGAGAGAAATAGTTACCTAATTAACTGTTTAAATCAAATAAACGTTCATTATATAAGTTCTCTAAAAGAGACTCTCTCATTCAATACAAAAAAAAAATATTTGGGGCTTTTAAAAGTTGTTCATCATATTCATGTAAGTAAAATAGAAATCCAACATGTACCTACCATCTGTTTAGATCCCATTTAGTCCTCGTTTTAGTTCATCATTAGTCCATATGGTGTTTACCATGGGAATTTTAAATACTACTCACGATGCAGACCTGATCTTATAAAATCTTCAAATTGAGTGAATTCCTTATCAGAAGTTTAATATTGTCCACAAGTAACTTACAAGGGCCACGTTTTTTCCTGACGTCCTCGCTGCTGCAATAAAGTTGACAAATACACTAACAATAGGCAATTTGTCGTCTCTGTGCAGTCAAACTTGCGTCATACACGGAAGGGGGTGACCTTTGTCGTCTTTTTTTAAGGAAACGTACTTGGGTCTACTTCCAAGGATCTCGCATTTTCTCTTTGTGCAGAACTGTTCTGTTGATTGACACGGTTGGATGATTCGACTTTTTACAGAAATCCTCAGATGTGTAAACAGGTAAACCCAACCCCCGAATAGTGTTTAAATATCTGATTTTATTATGGAGTTGTCGAAGCGAGAACAAACTTTTGATTGAGAAATAATGAAAAAAAAAATACTAACAGGACGCCCAACTAGGATTTCCCCATTATTACATATAATTATCTGGTCGATCTTTCTGCTTTACAGGAATGTGTTTTTCTAGATCTAGTGGTTGATCTACGGTGCATGTATAAAGTAATCCAAACGATCTGTAACTTATGACATGTAACTTTGGCATGTGAAAATCTACATTCAAATAGAAAAACTTCATTTAGGAAAAGGATGTCAAGTAAACAAAATAAATTTTATTATAAAATGATAAACTGGTTGACGCTATACGCTTACATATTTTTTAATAATGTTCATGGTACTAGTAACTGAACAAGGAAATTCAAAGAATTGTACTCCCCCGCTTTTGGTGTCTTAGTGGATGGGATGCCGTTATTTATGGCATATTGTAACTGTCTTGTTTGTGTGTCCTGTCTTGTCTGTGCGTCATACAAAAAAGTCATAAATTATTGAATTAATAACAGTTATAATAGCAAAGGTTATAGCTTCTCAAAACTACATCAACTTTCAAGATCAAGTTCATGAGGTCAAATGTCATAGTTAAGTACAATCCGAACGGTCTTGTCACAAGTAATGCACATGTGAAAAAATATCAAAAACCAAAGTATACAATCGAAAGGTCTTGAAACAGGTAATGCACTTGTCAGATATAAATGCCATATCTTCTCTTAATCAAAAGTTATCAGCAATGTTAAAAGTTTTGAAAATTAGATCAAACTTGAAGGTCAAGGTCACGGAGTCAAATATCATGATAGCACATTAGGAAACATTTTGACACAGGTAATGCACTTGTCAAATATAAACGCCCAATCTTATGTTATTAAAAATTAATTACCAAAGTTAAAATATTTGAAAATTAAGTCAAACATGAAGGTCAAGGGGTAAAAAATCATAGCATGCTCGTAAACATCTTGTCACAGCTAACACACATGTAAAATATGAAAGCCCTATCTTTTCTCAATCAAAGTTAAAAGCAAAGATAAAATTTTTGAAAAGTAGGTCAAACTTTAAGGTCAAGATCACGGGGTCAAAAATCATAGTATATTCGGAAAGGTCTTGTCACAAGTAATATACATATTTAGTATAAAAACCCTATCTTTACTCATTCAAAAGTTATGACCATTTTTAACTTATGTTAGAATTTTTTAAAAGTAAGTCAAACTTTCAGGTCAAGGTCACGGGGTAAAAAATCAAAGCATATTTAGAAAGGTCTTATCACAGGTGATATGCATCTGAAATATGAAAGCCTTATCTCTTCTCATTCAAAAGTTATGACCGTCATGGTAGCTCAGTGTTAGTAGAGCGCTCGTTCCGTGATCGGAAGGTCGTGTGTTCGAATCATGGCCGCGACTAACGTAAGTCGATAAAAAAAATAAGTAGCAACTGTTCCTTCGCCAAGCGCTCGGCACTTTGGAGTGAAAGCTGTGGGTCTTTCGGGTGAAACCGTAAAAATCGAAGCCCCTTATCACGGTAGGCGTTGGCACGTTAAAGAACCCTCACTGCTCAATGGCTCTGAGTGCCGAGTAAAGCTCTAAACTTGAAGCCCTACACCGGTATATGGTGACGTCTGTATATGAGTGAAAAATTCTCAAACTGGACGTAAAACAACACACAATCAAAAGTTATGACCAAGGTTAAAGTTTTTGTGACAGACTGACAGACGGACAGCTAGGCAGACTGACAGACAGACGAATGAGATTTAATGTCCCCTCGATCTCGCGAAAGCGGGGGACAAAAAGGCGAAGATTACGGACAGTGATCGCTCTAATAAAATTCTATAAATAGGGCATAAAACAGGGACCCCTAAAAATAGAATAATAGAATAGAATAGTAGATTAGAATACAATAGAAATAAAATCGGGTGCCTAGGAGGAGTAAGCATCCCTGTTGACCGGTCACACGCGCCGTGAGCCCTATGTATTGATCAGATAGAACATCCGTAGTCAAATTCAGTTTAAAAACAAAAGCCTAACAATTGGTATGAAACATGTCAGCCAAAATACTACCCAATTGAATGCTAGGTTATATTTGCTGACAACGTCACTATAACGACCATAGAATTTACGAAATGTTGACTTTAAACGAGGTTGTTGAAATCCCTGTAACATCAACTTATCTGCTGGTAGCATACTCTTGAGTGTCTAATAAGATGGGAGATGTAAACATCATATTCAGGCGATAGCGGAATATTACTTCATAAATAAGGAAAGCTGATGATGGAAAAGCTGAAATCATCTCTTTTGTCATACAAGAAGATGGGCGAACAAGACATGCAAAATGCCTATTGTGCAACAAATATAAAAGTGAAAAATTAAATCTTAATTATGACAAAAATTTATTGATATTTCATTTAACACTAACGTACACTTCATGTTAAATCTCCTCAATTTGCAACAATCTCACAAAGATTGAAACTATTCGTCTATGAAATAGCCATACATACACAAAAGAGGACAAAAACGATAACTTATTTTTTTCAAACTATATCACAATTTTTCCATGTGAGTGTGTCTTCGCTCCATTTTTGACAGATTATATTTAGGGTATGTGTGAAACTATTCATATTTCGGTTTACATTAATATGGAACAAGGACCCATCATACCTTAAAAATACACTTTTATGACATAACATTCGTACCTTTCCGAGAAATATTTGAAGTCCATTTAGTCAAGGGTCATATCAAAAAACATGATTTATATGCCGTTATTTGTCATGAGCTGTGTTGCGCAATGGTTAGCGCGTTAGTTGCCCCCCCCCCAAAAAAAAACAACTAATACTAGGGATTTTTATTGCTAGGGTTCGAACACATAGAATACCATATTTTTTTTTTCAAATGTTAGAATGATTATTGCTGAAAGAGTTTTTGGCAGAAAAGTTTTGTCTTTAATAATTGCATACCTTTCAATAATAAAAGCTTTAATATAAATACTAAATTCACAAATTGAATATGACTTTTATACATTTGAAGCTATAGGTATTTTGCACGCCTTGTTCTCCTATCTTCTTTACACGTACGAGGGTCGTTCAATAAATAATGCAAAAAACAGTACATCATAGTAAATGTAGATGTATTTAATTTTTTCACAGTTGAAACGTTCAATTAAAGAGCTCCTAAACATAGAAAAACCCACGATTTTTCCTATTGTCACTACACTGAGCTGAAACTGTTTAAAATGATCTCTGCCAAGACGATAAACATGAGAGTGTGCTTCTAGATCGTTACATAAATCGCCGAAGAACTCATATTAAAAATATGATTTTTATATGTGGAAAGAAAAGTCTTTAAAGCTGTATAGTTTTCAGATTGATTCAGATTTTCAAAAGTAAAAAAAAAAGGCGAATTAGAAATATAAAAGTCAAACTGGTCGATTGAAATTTGTGGGGGTACCAAAATTATCGATGCTATGTGCAGCATGATATCTGAAAATGTCAGATTTACAGCCAAAGTCATTGCTAGAGCACTAAGCATTTCATCGATATCGTCGTAGAATTCTGACGACGGAAATGAACCCATATAACAATATTTCTATCAGATAGGTGCCTTATTTTCTTAAAATTGACTAAGAGAAAAATACGCATTAAACGTGACAACGGTCTATTTAAAAACAAATTTATATTTTAACAAAATAGAAGATTTGTTAAATTTGCGTGATGTATGACGAAACATGGATGCACATTTTATAGCCAAAAAGGAAGATCAAAAATAAAATATGTAATAAGAGAAAAAGCTATCGCTCTTATTATTGTAAAGAGGAACAAGGGCTCCAAGCATGTTTTTTAGTTTTCATTTTTTCAAGAGGTCCAGTAAAACATGTACATACACACAAAGGAAGGACCATCAATGGTAAATTTTATGTTCAAATTCCACTGAAGAAAGGTAAACAGATTTCCTGCAAAGGAAGTCCAAATACCTCCCCAGGGTAAATTTTCTTGCACCTGGCAACGCTGCTGCAAATAAGCACAGAGAAATTAAATTAATGAACTTCTGAAGAAAAGAAAGTTTACAGAGTTTTGCCACCCCCCATATTCGCTAGATCTCAACCATTTTTTATTCCAAAAATGCATGGAAACAATCAAAGGAAGATTGTACAATATTAAATAAATCACGGAAAGTGATATTCATCAGTGTCTTTGGGGCATCCCTAAAGATGAGTATGCTGAGGTTTTCTGGTGATGAATACAAAGACTTGAGACATGTGTAAAGGATAACAGGGAAAGGTTTAAGGGATTGAAAATGTTAAGAATATGTTTTACCTTTCTTACTTTTAGATGAACTATTGCATTATTTATTAAACGATCCTCGTAATCCTTAAATTTTTATTTACCTATTATAAATTGCTGTCGGTATTCCTTATTTTCCACTTATGAAATGTTATTAAATGTGAATTTTAAAAAAAAAACCAAGAAGCCCAAGGGCCTTAACGGTCACCTGAGATCAATAATTTACCGGATCCATAAACTGATAAATGAAGCTTTGTTGCAAAAACGCAAGAAAAATAGTACGATTAAGATCAACAAAATAATTGTTCTAGTATCGATCTATCTGTCCCCCATTTATCACTATTACCATGCAGACTTTTAACAAAATGTCCATTACCTCTCACATTGACCTCACTTGGCC